TATTTGAAGGAAAGAACATCCAGCTCTGACAGGACTCTGTTCTCACCAGCAAGGCTTCCAGCACATGCTTTGTATTGCAGTAGGTTCTAATCCTTTTCATAACGAGACATTTCAAAACTAATTTTCAGAATTATCCTGTGCATATTAATACATTTGAGGAAAATGCAAGCTTGTGATGATGATGAAGCTGCAAAAAATAAGAACACTGAATCCCAGCAAATACATTTAAGATAGCTCACATGAAGAGCAAATATATCCAAGATGGAAATAATGTGTAAAAAACAGAAACAAGATCAAGACATAAACAAAGGCTATTATGAAAGATTTTGAAGATGACACAGGTAAAATATTGATTTTTTTTCCCAGTACTGAAAGTTGCAGGGGTAAGGAGTATGTTTAAAGCAACCTGTGCCTATCTTATATTTGAGTAAATGATATGATGGACCAATTCCTTCAGCTAAAGAAAGATTTTAGTTCACCTGTGTAATATTTTACCTATCCCCATGTCACATAAAGAGATACTATTTAGATTAGATGGGTGGGAGTAAAGAATTTGCATAGAAAAATAAAGGACAGCAAAGGCATCATGGCGCTAACTTCGGTTAAATTTGAAATATCCAATTCATCATTCGCCACCTCTTATTTGTTGAATTCATTCATTTATTTTTGAGTGGCAACCCTGGGCTGAATGTGGTTAGCCCTGTCCTCAAGGAGCAGGACAAAATTAGCTGACACAAAGGACATTTCCAGTCTAGTGACCCCAGGAAAGAAGAGGAAATATCAAAGTATCAGGTCAGAATGAAAGTGTCCTACACTCAGTAAATCCCCAGATAACTGCGCACTGTGGCTGCTCTGATGCTGAAGTTGGAGAGAGCTCTTACCAGAGGTTTTTCCACATTGTTATTGAAAGGGCCTCTCCAGTGTGAATTTTGTGAATTCCAAGGCAGGAATTCCATCTTAAGGTGGAATTCATTATATTAGTAGGGTTACTCACCAGTGTGAATGCTCTAATGCAAAGACTCTCGGAGCTCCACCTGAAGACTTCTCCCCTTGACAGTATGAAGACCTCCCAGGTCTTTCCCACATCTACTGCACTCCTGGAAGGCTCCCTTGAAAGTCAATGGGGTGAAAAGTGGATTATAGTCCTACTGTGACTAAAGTCCCTCACCCTCCCCACCCACAGTCCATTTTAAAGAATGCCCCCACATAACCAGCAGATCAAGGGCATACAAGCATTTCGCTCCT